AAAAATAAATAAAGTACTTTATAAAGGAAAAGGGGAGAGAATTACACCAGAAACCAGAATGAGATTTGCAGCGGCTGAGAGCTTAATTTGGCTACCTGAGAAAACAGTGAACTATAACAGGACATGCATCGTATCCTGGCATTAAATTCCACGCAGAATTGATTCCTTGGGCTCTCACATGGAGGATGTGGAGTAACCAAATAGATAATTTGTTTGAAAGCATTGATGGAGAAGATAGAAACACTGGTCATGAGCATGACGCCCCCCTTCATTCCCTCACCTGCCTGTCCTATCTCCCCTCCTAGGCAGCCCTCTTCCTGTCATCCAGATAATGGTCACACTCTTGTGAACCCACCATACTCCTATTTTACCAAACAAAGTAGCAGTAAAGTTTGTGTTCCTCGAGAGCAATGAAGTGGGAATCGAGAATCTCATTCTCTAGGTCAGGGGTATCCAACCTTTTTTTCCATCTGCCACTCTTTGGAAGAATGAGAGTTGTCTTGGGCCACATATTAAATACATGAACACTAAATAGAGAGGTGATTATCAAAAAAAGGCCCATGCATACTTTTTGTGATATCCAACACCGTAGATCAGCAAAAAAAGTCCTCATGAAATCAGCACATGGCCACAGGCTGCAGGTTGGCCCCTGCTCTGGGTTCTCATCCTGGCTTTTTGCAACTTCGGCCAAGGTACCTACTTCCTGTCAGCCTTAATTTCCCAGTGTTCACCGGGAGATGTTAAGTGGTAACAAAAGGAATCATAGTGTGTTGAGAGCATTCTGTGTTCCAGATACATAACATACAATCACTAATCCTTACATCATTCAGCAAGACACAGGCACTGTTATTTCCTGTTTTACGAGGAAACTAAAATGTAGCTTATCCCCTGCTCACTGGGATTTGAACTTGTTTGTCTACATAGCCTGAGCCCTCTTCCTTTGTGCTTAATCCTGAACTCCCTTTCTCTAAGTCTCTTGAGTTCACTCCACCCCTTATTGACCAAATCCCGGCTGTGTGTGAGATATTGTTTTGGGCAGTGTAGGGGACAGCCATTCCCTTCTCCCAAGTTTTCTCCCTTGGAAAACTGCTCAGAGGGTAAAGCAGTGTGCACTTGTTACTTATCTGAAGCTGGCACTGAGTCTTAATTTTATCCACAGCTGGGCAAGTCTGTGGTGGCTAAAGTGAAAATTCCAGAAGGCACCATTCTGACACTGGATATGCTTACTGTGAAGGTGGGCGAACCCAAAGGCTATCCTCCTGAAGACATCTTTAATCTGGTGGGCAAGAAGGTCCTGGTCACTATTGAAGAAGATGATAGCATCATGGAAGAATCTATAGAAAATCATGGCAAAAAAATCAAGTCTTAAAATAAAGTGCTCTTGTCTGAGTTCTCAGTTGCCTTGCTGGTGCCATAGGTGGGTGGGGCAGGGTAGGAGTGGAGGTCTTTGGAGACCTGGTGTTCATCCACCATCACCGTCCTCTCCTTACACAGTGGTCATTTCTGGGCCTGGCCCTGTGTCAAGCCCATTGATGAGATAAAAGGAGAAAATGAGGTAGTGTCTGCTTTAAGGTGGCTGAGCCAGAAGGGGAAGTGGGCTCAAAAGCAAGACCACGTCCTCTAGTTGTGTGCCTGCACAGAGGGGCGAGAGCCAGGTCCTCCCCTGTAAGCCTTCATTCTCATGTCCTACAAAGCCAAAGAGATCTCACGTCCTTACCCCTGCCTTACTTCCCCATTGCCCTTATCCCCTTCCTACCCTTGGGCTGTGTCCAGTGAGTATTGTATAGCCATCATTCTGCATTGGAGAAGGGATTAAAGGATATTGTAGGCAGAGAAATGCAGAAAACATTCTGAACTCTGTGAGCAAAGGGAGGGAAATGGCAGAGATTCCTTCTTTCCGCAAATTACAAAGGCCTGCTATGGGCCAAGCACTGCTTTAGACGCTGAGGATAGAGTGGTGCCCCATCCCCTCCTTGGGGAATCTGCATTCACATGGGGGCCGATGCACAATGAACCATGAGCATAGTGAGTCAGTCACAGGTTGTTAGATGTGATATGTGCAAAAGGGAACGCAGATCAGTGTGAAGGGGATGGGGAGTGGGGGGCTTGGAGCTTACATAGGAGGGGAATGCTGAAACCAGCTCTTTATCATCAACATTTTATGTCAGGTAAAATTACAAACCCAGCTAATAGAAAAGATCTTCAGTTTTACTTCCTTGAACAAAAACCATGAACCTTTTAGCGATTCAATGTCATATTCCTCTTTTTTGTTTTGAACCAGTGATGAGATTAATAGTTCTTTTCAAATTCTTGATCTTTCATATTTATTTGACCTTTTTTATTTTATACTACTCTTGTTTCAAAGGGTATATTTGAGTCTCTTTACAAATGCATATAATTTGGCTTTTGAAGTTTCTTTGCCTGTGAATATAGGGCCTTCCCCTCCTGTGGATCCCAAGACGATTCCTGGAACGGTACATGTGTGGACCGGGGATGGGTCTATGGGAATCCTGTGTGTACTTATATAAAAGAGAAACTGTAAAATTGACGTGCTGATTATTGAAGTGTGATAGTATCAATTCCTGGCTGGTGTCCACCCCCTTTCATTTCTCCCCAAAAGCGGGTGTTGAGTAAATTGATTTCTGATTTCATGGCCTTTTCTTCTACAACAAGGAGAGGAGGTGACATGAAGGAAATATCTGACACTTCCTAACAAGAAGAGGTACGGTAGTAGAGGGGTATGTTCCAGGGCTGAAACAGCATATGGATCTGGAAGAGAGGGAAAGAAGGGCCTGGCCTGGGCTCCAACCAAGAACGTGCAAAAGGTTGTTCCCAATAAGGGATCAGTGGGTCACCTCCAGTCTAAGCAAACTGGAAAGTAAGCAGGGTCCAGAGTGCTCTTTAAACCCTGGTTGGGGCTCCTCTGGGCCGAGGAATCAGTAAGGCTGAGAACTGGAAGAGCCCCCTGAGGTCACAGTACTTAACTCTGCCTTTTGAGCAGAGGCCTTTTGGAGAGAACTGAACTAAGCCACTGTCTGGCTTTGAGAAAATGATAGCATGTGTGATGTGGGCTGGCCACAAAATGATTTTGTGTCAAGTTGTCCATAGGGCTGAAGGTTTGATATCTGGACACACTTCTAGCCCATCTGAGATGGGAAGCTCTGGTTTAAAAATCATCCCTGAGGTTTTCTCTTTCCAGAACAGGCCAAGAGGGTGTCTCCATCATGGGAGTCCATATTCACCGCAACAAGGACCGAAAGGTTCATTGGAAGGAGCCCAAGAGCCAGGACATTTACCAGATGAACCAACTTTACCTTCAACCAGGTTTTGCTAAAGAGGTTGTTTATGAGTCACACCAATTGGCCACCACTGTCTCTTTCCCGGATGATCCTGAAAATGAAACTTCCTTGCTGGGAAAACAAAACAGCTGTGGTTGTGGGGACCGTAACAGATGATGTGCTGTTCAGGAAGTGCCCAAACTGAAGGTGTGTGCCTTGCGCATGAGCAGCAGGGCCCACACCCATATCCTCAAGGCTGGGGGCAAGATCCTCACCTTCAACAGGCTGGCCCTGGACTCCCCCAAGGGCTGTGGAGCAAGTCCATCCTGCTTTCTGGTCCTCGCACGGGCCGGGAGGTGTACCTGCGTTTCAGGAAGGCCCCAGGAACCCTGCACAGCCACACCAAACCCTATGTCCGTTCCAAGGAAGTTTGAGGGTGCCAGAGGCCAACAGGGCAGCCAAGGCTACAAAAATTAACCCTGGAACCTACTGTTTTAAAAAAGATTTTGGATGCACAAAAAAAAAAAAAAAAAAAAATCCCTGAGCACCAGGTGGGAGGTGCAGTGCTGTACACACAGCAAGGCAGCAGACGGTCCCTGTCTAACAGTTCCCAGCCTTGTGGGCACAGGTGCCTGCACAATAGTGTCTATGTGGGTGAACAGCACAAATGTTTACCAAGAGTCACAGAAGTCAAGATGGGAGAGGGAACCCTGGTCAGGGAACACCTAGAA